TGCTAAGGCCCAGCATGATCTCAGAGCTGGTGATGACAACTCTTTCAGTTTACCTTGCTAATGGATTGTATGCCTGTGCTAAGGCCCTGCATGATTTCAGAGCTGGTGATGACAACTCTTTCAGCTTACCTTGCTAATGGATTGTATGCCTGTGCTAAGGCCCAGCATGATCTTAAAGCAGGTGATGGGGACTCTTTCAGCTTACCTTGCTAATGGATTGTATCCCTGCGCTAAGGCCCAGCATGATCTTAAAGCAGGTGATGGGGACTCTTTCAATAGTTCAACACTAAGTCTTCGTAACCACTCCATCCAATCATCTTTAGAGACACGTCTAGCAGCTCCCCATGCCTAGATAGCAGGAAACAAATGTAAATTGTGAATTACAAGTCATTGTTAATGGTATAATCCTTGTTGTAATTAGTGGAAATGTCATTCATGTCTAAGATAGTAATATGGCCAAAAACATAATTGTTGCAAGTCTGTTGTCTTTTTTTCTGATCACAAATTGAATTGTTATGGACATGTACTGCTTTTTGCAATCAAATTGAATAAGCAAATCACTGGTCATGTGACCAGGTAAATCCATGGGCATGTATCCTAACATATATAATGTATATACCAAATTTGAATGACAAAGCATGACCATAATACTATAATTTCAAAAATCAAGATGGCTGCCAGGTCATCTTTGAACAAAACAATAAACAAATTGTCATGGACATGTATCCTAACATGTATATTGTTTGTACTAAATTTGAACAAAAACTGACAAAGCATGGCCAAGATACCACATTTTCGAAAAAACAAACAAAATGGCTGCCAGTCGGATATCTTGGATTGAATCAGTAAAGCACTGCGTGTGCATACGTCCCAGATGAAGTACCGGTACTAGGCACATGCAAAGATTTGGTACACAGGATTCTGAAATATGACGGATGGATGGACAGAGACGAAATTAAAACTTGGCTCAAACAATGACAAATAAAATGTTAAGTTTTAAACTTCAATAGGCAATGGTAAATTCAATCAAGCTGACAATTTTTTTTTGGAGGGGGGTGTGTCAGAACGGTCGAGCAGATTGTGTGTTTGATTTCAGGGCAAGGCGAATTGGTGCCTATATTGACGGTTCAAGACCACCTATAGACAAACTAAAATACAAATTTTGCTGAAAGTCCCTGACATTAGATCCATACAGACTCTTACAGTTGGGTAATACTGACTTTCTAACAAACCCAATTTGCCTTCCCATTGGTGTTTGAATGTTATATTTTCCATGCAAGTAGATGACCAAAACTTGCCATCAATATATTAATTCATTGTACATGGCAAATCAATGAGCATAATTAATTCATAAATCAATTAAATACTTTTCTTTGAAAAAAAACATTAATAGACATCAATGTAAATACTTCATTAAATACAAAGCACTGATCATATGACTATATATGTGTATTTGAACCATTTATATTTTTATTCTCGTAATAACCTTATTATTATACATCTTTTCCTTCCAAGGATACATCATGGGAATGCCGATATCCAAAAAGTTTAGAACAGTCTGCGAACTTCTTTGTGTGGAGTTCGGTACAACTCTGGCGGCAGCCATGTTTGTTTTTATTGTTAGAGGATGCTTACACATGTAATCATTCCATATTTGGAATTCGCATTTCCTAATATGGTAGGATGAAAATACCCTGTAAAATACCGCAAAATTACGGCACGCTGTAACTTATGGCGTTACGGTGACAGATGTCTAGTAATATATTATATTTTGATATCTTTTAGAGACAAGATATCATATCACTTACTCGTTGTAAATTGTTAGCACTGACGTGCAATTTCTTGACGTGTCTTGAATCAATTGAACTGCTAGCAGCCGTGTCTTCTCCAAGGTTACCACCTTTACCTTGACGTGTTCTCCACAGTAATGGGTCATCTTCTTCCTCAGCTATTGTAGTACCCTGAACGAAATGACATGAACTGAAAGTTTTTGCTCACTTCTTACTTTTTACAACTTTTGCATTTGATCTACCTAATACAATTTGACGTGCTCTAAAAAACTGTCTACCTGAACAATCAAACATTGTTAAATATCTTATCGCTGATTACATACCCGATATTTACCTAAACAATCGAGCATAGTAACATATTGTATCAATGATTTGATATCCGATGTTTACCTAAACAATACGGCATAGTAACATATCGTATCGTTGATTTGATATCCGATGTTTACCTAAACAATACGGCATAGTAACATATCGTATCGTTGATTTGATACCCGATGTTTACCTAAACAATCGAGTATAGTAACATATCGTATCAATGATTTGATACCCGATGTTTACCTAAACAATACGGCATAGTAACATATCGTATCATTGATTTGATACCCGATGTTTACCTGAACAATACGGCATAGTAACATATCGTATCGTTGATTCGATACTCAATGTTTACCTGAACAATACGGCATAGTAACATATCGTATCGTTGATTTGATACCCAATGTTTACCTGAACAATACGGCATAGTAACATATCGTATCGTTGATTTGATACCCGATGTTTACCTGAACAATACGGCATAGTAACATATCGTATCGTTGATTTGATACCCGATGTTTACCTGAACAATACGGCATAGTAACATATCGTATCGTTGATTTGATAGCCGATGTTTACCTGAACAATACGACATAGTAACATATCGTATCGTTGATTCGATATCCGATGTTTATATAGCACTTTATTGACCATTGGAATAAATATCTGATACTTCTTGCCAAGTTGTAGCACGAGAGATGATAATGTATCCATGGCAACCGACCTTAATTCTGGAGTGTTATCCAATGTACGAACGAGCGGGTGAACAATCCGGGAAGCAAAGTCAGTGAAGTCCAGTGTGTCACTGAGGCGGTCAATGGTAATTAAGGCAGCGCTGTGTGACAGAATGAATGTGGTTATTAAGCTGCTTTTTTGTTTCATACAATTGTCATAAAAATTATGTTTTTATTTGAATTTTCATGAAAATTCAATATATATTTAAAGTGCCCACCCTCTTGTTTCCCATTTTAGTTCTGTGCCCCACTGAAATGGGCAGTTATTGATTTTTTTGCTGAAAATGATTACTCGTATCCAAGTAAATTTGAGATATTTCCTGTGCTGTAGCCACGCCCACCTATCCTGAAATGGTCGACTGTTTCCGGATTTCCGACTCTCGCCACTGAATGCAAAAATATGAGAGGAAGCCATACCCCTGGGTCGTACTTTTATATCACTGTGTCATTCAACATACTTTTAAACGATATACATTTTTTGATCAGGGTTTTTTTTTTGTCTATTTTATTTTATTTTTGAGAGAGAGAATTTTTAGAAGTTGTTTTCACAACAAACATTTATGATGGTTAAACGCTGTGTTGTGGGCAGTTGCAGTAATGCGTATAGTCATAGTGTAAGTATTTACACGTTTCCTTTCCGAAGGTGCAAAATCGGTGGACGAAAGCCATGAAAATAACGAGAAAAGGTTGGGGTGGACTTCCTCCTTACATCGTCAAATGTAATGTCCACTTCACCTCAGATTTTTTATTTCGTAAAACTGTCCTTGTTCATGACAAAACAACTAGGTTTTAACGAGAAATGCCAACAACTTAAACCTGGCGCAATACAAAACGTTTTCAAAAAAATAGATTCCGGACCAGCCCATGATCACTGAGGCGGATTTTAGAAGGGAGAGAGATGCTGGGTAAGTGTTTCAAATGATTTGACTTTTTTTGCGATCCTGATTATCGATTTATAGAGACCACTCGTGTTATGTAAGAGGTAGTAGTAATTTTGATAATGACACGACAACGAAGCGTCAGACAAACAGGAAATTACGCAGCCCTGTTTTAATTTTCGCAAGCTAAGTGTCTGAATTGTTTGGTGATTGGTGTTGAATGTCGAATTCACACCTTTGTTGCCTTTACTTGCAGCTTGATCTGTGTAATAATCAATGTGTTTCCAACAAGTATTTTTTTAATATGATGTCATAATTATGAAAATCATGCTAAATCCACTCAAATTTGTCTGTATGTGAGTCGCTATCAATTATTTTTGTTATCCAATTAAATGCCGCCATTCACGCACTTGTCCCCGTCATGACCCGACGCGTTCACCCATCACAACAAATTTATTTTATTTTTAATTATCTCTCTATTTTATTGATCACTATAATTTAATGTTTAGAATGTCAAAATATGTTCTCTTTTTTTTTTTAATTTTGAATGTTTTTTTTACTAAGACGATCGTTGAAATAAAACAGTAACCTGGTAAATAACAAGACGATTCAGGCGTCAAATTTGATTTTGTCCGAAGCCGGGGTCCAGCAACAGTGTACAAACGTGCATTGATGATGGCGTCGACCACGGTGACTAGCTACACCAGACCGGACATATTTTGCATCTAACTCAACCCCATGCAACAAACTTGATACTATGTGTTCATTATGGTCCATTCTTACTCAACAAACAAATACATAAGTGGCAATTTAGTCAAAGACGAGAAAACAGCACAAGAAATTCGCCTTATTTACACGTATCGGCAATGCAAGCTACCCAGCAACTTCCCCTTCTGACGTCACAAGGGGGAATTTCTGTATACAAATGAGAAGCTAATGAGGAGCCTCGTTTTAAAATACACAAAAATAAAGTTGCTGTAGACTGAGTTTAAAACGCATTTTTTCACTTAAAAAAATAATTCATGCTTAAAAAACATAAAAATTAATAAAATTTATGTATCAATGGATAATTTTTGGCGTGAAAATAGCAGCCATTTCACAGGCACTTTAATGCTAAAGAAAGATGAGAAACCATTTTCAAATCATTTTTGCTGGTATCTGTCAACAAGAGTAGACAATTGTTGAGTGAACAGGAATTACAATATGTAAGGTAAGGAAGAAACCATGTCTTGAGAGGTTTGATAAGCAGTGAAATAAATTAAGAAAATCCAATTTTGAAATGAGATCTCACCTTCTGACATTCAGTGGGACATCTGGTGAATCAAATATTTTAACAACAGGAGGTAATAATAAATGAAGATAATCATCTAAATTAGCACCAAACATCTGCATTGCATTCAACAACTGGAAATGAAACAAAATGTGCTATTACAGTCTAATCATGAAATGTGACAAATCAGTAACAGAACCATCAGTGTCCAGTTCCATGTATGATATATTTTCAGGTCATACAGTTCAATCTGTCAAGGAAATAAACATCAAAGAAAGCTTAGAAAGAACTCCCATGTGCTGAGAGTATTGGAGACACATTAAATATAATTCGAAATTACTTAGCTGAAAACTAATTATGCAAATCAGAAAATTAATATGAACAGATTTGAGTGTAAAACTAATGCAATGCAACTGCGCAATGTAACAGAAAATCTATGTTTCCAAGTTTAATTGAAATGTGATTAGAACCAAAAAATTATGAGTTATTATGCTTATTAGGGAATTAATATGAACAGATTTTTAACCCAAACTAATCAGGTTTATACATTGTTCTAGAGCATCTTTGTACTAAGTTTCATTGAAATGGAATAATTAGTACTTTAGATATCAGTGTGAAAGCTTAAAATTGGTTAATTATGCAAATTAGGT